AGGTGTCCTTAGCACAATAAAATAAAGTCGCTGCCTGGTGTCACAGGTGGCTGGAGCTTCCTATGCCCTGATTCTGCTGCCAGCTCCTCCTGTTCTTTCTGTATCCCTCTCTGGGGGAAGAAAAACAGAACCTTAAATATATGATTGAAGGGATCTGAGAGGTGCCCATAGGAGATTGAGGTGAATTGTGGAGCTAAAGATACAGAAAGTGGTAAAGAAGTAAAACTGATCGTTATTTGGAAATCCTTTCAGCAGACACTTGTTGTCATGGGAATGCAGATACATGACCCAGGGCCACAGCAGGCAGAACATAGTTCGAGGTGGATAATGGCAGTGGCACGCTCCCAGGGCCTCTCAACAGGGCTTTTATATAGTTATAGCATGTCTGTGTCCAAGGAAAGCTGCACCACTGAGTCAGCCATGATCGGCAAGTGCTGATGTTCACGTTCCTTTACACTGAAAGCCGTCTCCTTCCTGGAAAGTCTTCTCCTTTATGGAATCTGCCCAGGACCAGCACTGTAGGTAACCCTAACTATGTTGCATCCTCTCCACAAAGGCAGGCCACAGGCTCTCGATGTCAGGCCCATGTGCTGGGCCTCTGGAATGTCTGTCAGTGATGCTCATGTGGCCCTTTCCACCCCTCCCACAGGGGTGCCATGGAGGAGGGCAGAGCAGGTGAGGGAGATGGTGAGGACTCGCCGATGGGCTCTGCTGCAGCCTAGGTCCTTCTCTGTTCCAGAGCCTAGAACAGGCCTTCTCTTTGTAAATGTGTTCATGCATCTGGGCCCCGGCATTTACCCTGGCCTGGGCACTGAGGGTCCAAAGATAAGAGTGAGGTATAGCCAGGTCTGAGCTGTGTGCAGTGCAGGCAGTGGCCCCATGGAGCCGCCCACTGTGGTGGGCACACCTCAGGGCACCGATCCACCTAGCAGAGAGGGCCAGTCTTCCTCGTGACACCCAGCTGGTCTTCACACCAGGTGACAGGGTGAAGGAAGGGCAGCCTAGGTGGTGTGCACACCTTTGCCTTGGTCCAGAAAGGGGAGTGACCCCTCTATTGCAAAGGAGCTAGCCCTGGCTCATCGCCTGTGGCTCAAGGAACTAAGGCACCACATACACCTGAGCTGGCGGGTTCAAATCCAGCCCGGGCCCACCAAACAATTGACGGCTGCAACCAAAAAATAGCCAGGTGTTGTTGCAGGTGCCTGTCGTCCCAGCTACTTGGGAGGCAGAGTCAGGAGAATCACTTGAGCCCAGGAGTTGGAGGTTGCTGTGAGCTGTGATGCCACTGCACTCTACCCAAGGCGACAGCTTGAGGCTCTGTCTCAAAAAGAAAAAAGGAACAAGCCCTAAGCACCTTTCTGCTGGGGCCCAGACTGTGGGAGGCAGGGTTGGAAAGGTGGACGACAAACCACAAGACCTACAGAGAGAATTCAGTCAGTCCCCCTCAGGGAATAGCAGAATAGTTAAGAACACAAGCCCGGGACGCACAAGTCCTGATTGGGCTACACGGTAGTTCTTAACCTGTCAAAGGAACGTTGTGCCAGGACTGTGTACGGAGGGCAGGCTGTAAGGACACCTTTCCACCCAGGGGGCAAGGCCGGGATGTAGACCCCCATTCTTGATTCTCCTCCTTCCCTGATCCCTAACAATACCAGAGTTCACCCCTCTTTCACAGCCCTCGTTGCTCAGCACAGAGTGGAATGCGGAGCATCTCCAAAGATTCCTGGACCCTCCCCTCACAGGGCAGCGAGGTTCAAGTTGAGGTCATGCAGCAAAGCTCTTAGAGGAGTTCCTGACCCAAACGGTGCTCAGTCAAGGCTGAGCTGAAAAATCAAACTAGACTGGGTAGGACATTTACACGTATGTGCTGCAGGCAGATGACATGGCACCCAGATTAGGGACAGCAAAGACTGGAGGGTGTGAGAGCTCTTCCTGGTGGAGAGCCCTAAAGTGGTGGGGGTGAGGAAGAGGCACTCCGAGGGGAGTTGTCCTTGCTGGGAGGGATAGTGCCTGGGTTGGGAAATTCGTGTTTTAGCCTCAACCATAAACTTTGAAGCCTAGAAAAATTGGGAATGGCTTTATTGTCTTTGAGTCCCCATGGTGATACAATACATAGATTATTGCTAGATTTGATGTGTAAAATCAGTCACAGTTCTGCAAGTGCAGATCGGCAGCCTTCTGGTCACAGAAAACACACTTGCCGCATGTGACATAAAGAGCCCTGTGTTGTTACCTCTCAGGCCTCCTTCACACAGACCGACGAAGGACAGGGAGCTCTCTGGAAGTGCCAGATCCGAGGAAGACTTTACAATTCTGTCTGCCTTTCTGTTTATTTTACAGTCCTTATTTTTAAATCTTTTTCTTAATTTGAACTTACTTTAGGCACCAAGCTAGATCCATTTCCTCATCTCCTATCCTCAGCAGAGCCGCATAAACATGGCATTCTATACCAAAAAAACAAGAAACAAACAAAAAAAGAGCTAGAACCAGAAGAAACTGGAATATACATTAAGAAAACTGGCACAAGAAGAATCAGTCTTTCTCGGAATTTTCTTACAGAATTTTTTCCTTGAAAAGAAAGCCAACCTATGAAGTAAAACACATGCGGTTGTAAATAAACAAAACCTCACACATATCAAACGTAGTTTTTTTTTTTCCCCCAGGACAAACTGACATTTTTCTCTGTCTGCTTTTCCTAATATGCACATTTCATTTAGCTCAAGTCCTCATTATGGGAGAAATTTACGTACCCATCTCTGTGCTCCGGGGTCTCCTTGGGCAGCAAAGTACCACTTGGTGTTTCAAAAGCGCTGGCTCTTGTTCATTTCTCCAAAAGCAGCAAATCTTTAAAAAATGAAATTTTCTGGACTCTTAACCCCTAAAACAACCTTGCAGGATAGATGATTTTGAGTCTTACAGTCCCACAGAATGTCTCACAGCCTTTAAAAATGTCATCAACCATCCCCCTGTCCAGCGGTAGCCAGTGATACATGTCCCATGGCCAGAGCAGCAGAGGGACAGGGCTACCAAGGCTGTCTTTCTAACCTTTATTGCGTTTTGGTTTTTTCTGAGACAGTTTCACTCAGTCACCCTGGGCAAATAGAGAGTCACCCTGGGTAGATAGAGTGCCTTGATATCATAGTTCACAATAACCTCAAACTCTTGGGCTCAAGTGATCCTCAGCCTCAACCTCCTGAGTAGCTGGGACTACAGGTGTCTGTCACAACACCTGGCTAGTGTTTTCTGTGTTTAGTAGCAGTGGGGCCTCACTTTTGCTCAGGCTGGTCTCGAACTCCTGAGCTCAAGAAATCCACCCACCTACCTCCAAAGTGCTAGGATCACAGGCCTGAGCCACCTCGCCTGGCCCCTTCATTGCTTTTCGTATTTGCTGAGAATATCCCTTGCAGGCCTGTACTCTACTGATTCCTGCTGATTTGTTCTCATTAAACTGGTCTCTAACTAGTCACTGGGTTTTGAGTAACACTGGGCTATACAAGATGATTCAAGGTCAGATCAGAGTGGTCACAGCCCCAGAAGTAGGTTCTGCCTCATCCAGCCAAGTGCTGCTGTCCCCTGCTCTGGAGCCACTTATACCTTTGTCCTCAGTCCCACCTCTCTCCAGTCCCACCTCTCTCTGTCCCCACCAGGGCCTGCCCCTCCAAGACTCAGGCCTATGCAGGGTCTCTTCCTAAGTGTTCTATCCAGCCAAACTGAGTCATCAAGCTACACCATCTTAGAGCCAGAAAGAATATTAGGAATGTTCTAGTCTGTTCTCTCCACGTTTTCACATAAAGAAATTTGGTCCCCCCAAAAAATGCACCTATGGTCTACTAGTGGTAAAGGTGGCATCTGAACTGATAGCAGAACTAGAACGAGAATCCACAGTGTTATAGGACAAATTGTAGTTGGTGTGTGTGGTCAGAATTTCTATTTCTGTTATGTGTATCAGATGGCTGTCGTCCAGAACTATAAACATGTTTCTTGCACCAACATCCTAACAAGATCTTTTAAAAATCAACTTTAAAATGGTTCAGTGGAAAAATGGATGGTATGATGAGACTTTGGGCTTACACCTATGTCAGCCATGCTGAAACTTCTGTGTTCAGCAAAGTGACAACCCTCCATCTGCCTGATTTGGGTGTGGTAGGGGGAGATTGTACAGGTCGGGGTGACTGTACAACTGGGAACTTAAAGTTATGAAATTTCATTTTCTTCTGTGATTGTTTCTTAAATAAAATGAACCTAGAAGGGCCCTGAAATGTATATTAAATGTACATATACATAGTCTTTTTCTACCAACCCATTTTCTCTTAGGGCCAGCATTACAGACAATAAGATCAACAGCATTTATGCACAGAACACTGGGAGGTTTTAAGGGTATGTGAGACTCTGATCAATAATGTACAAAGAGTTAGTTAAGGTGGATTTAAATGTAGGTATTTACCTGTGGTCGTCACTTGAGTTACCCCTTTCTGCAAGTGTACTTATGAAATCACGGTTTGACATCTATGCCCCCTATGTCCGTGGAACATGGGATTCCTTTGCCAAAATTCTATCTGGGGCACAGATGGTGCATGTTTCCTTAATCTGATTGATAGTGTCTCTTCCTTCCAGGCAAAGTGTAAAACCACCACGCTGGATATTCAGGTGTCTTAGATCTTATGCCATCTTGTCTTCCAGGCTCTGTGGCTACCCTCCTTTTTATGATGAAAATGACTCCAAGCTCTTTGAACAGATCCTCAAGGCAGAATATGAGTTTGACTCCCCCTACTGGGACGACATCTCTGACTCTGGTAAGTCTCCCACACGTGGCTTCCAGCAGGTGCAATGCTTCCACCCAGACTACCTGACCCTGCCAGACCCAGGGGACGCCCGGGGGCTCAGAGTGGTCCTGAGGCCCCTGCCTAGTCCTTTTTGAGTTCTATACAACAAATATCATGAACAAGGCAGCTTAAGTAACCAACATTTATTTCTCATGGTTCTGGAGGCTGGGAAGTCCAAGCCAAAGGCTCTCCACATTTGGTACCTGGTGACGACCCCTGCCTGGACAGGGCAGGGGTCCAGCATCTTTCCACTGTGTCCTCAAGAGAGAGCTCTGAGGTCTCTTTTAAGAGGCACTAATCTCATCTGTGAGGGCTCTGCCTTCACAACATAATCACCTCCAAAGACTCCTCCTCTAAATACCCTCACATAAGACATTAGGATTTCAACATAGGAACCTTGGGGGGCCATGCGCCTGGGCCGGCACACTCAGAGCACACATAACACTGCCCTAGGAAGCTTCATGAGCTGCATATGTGGGTTTAACTTGTAAAGCAGAGGACAAGCTGGGACACCTGGCTCACTGACCCAGGCTGTGGCATGGAGACTCACTCTTCTGCCTGTCCTAGCTGTGTACTGAACTGGGTGTCCCAGGAGTCCTTTGTAATAGTCTGCACAGGCTGCACACGGTACCCTCTGGGGACTCAGTATCTGTGCGGCCTAGCCCGGAACCTGGCAGCTTAGCAGAAGTTCGGGGGGTTTAGTCATTTCAGCCATGTCTAACACAGAGAGAACATCCCCCAAACACTGCTCTAAAGTGGTGGTGGACTAATTAGATGTGTGTGATTACGAAGATACTTCTCTGAACCAAAGGGGTCACTAGCAGCTAGAAACAAGGGCCTTGGCACCTGGGATTCTGGGACCCTGGCCTGGCCCTGCTGTCCCTCATTCAATAGGTCACCGTAGGATCCCGCAGCCCTGGCTTTCCTCTTTCCCAAGTGCTGGTGCCTCTCGTATCCATGGTACAGGAGAGCCCTTGGAGGGCAGGTCACATGTTTTTCACACTACACATAATATGCCTGACATATCATTGTCTCATCTCAAGCCCCAAAGTGACTCCTTCCGGTGTCCCTTCTTTTTGAACAGCGAAAGACTTCATTCGGAATCTGATGGAGAAAGACCCAAATAAAAGATACACGTGTGAGCAGGCAGCTCGGCACCCATGGTAAGAAAAATCACCCAGGGCGAGGCCTTGTCGTCTGAATGCCTCCCAGAGTGGGCTTTCTGCTGGCCGTTCTCATTTAGGAAATCCACTTGGGTATTGATTTCACCTCATTCTGCCTGCGGTCTGGACTCCTCTCCTCCGAGCCAGTGTTGGAACTCTTGTGTGTGTGCCTTCAGGGCGCAGTCTTCTGAATGCACTCGGGAGAAGTTAGTGTGCAGAAGAGAGCTCTTGCTCCGCCACTTTGCAGAAAGTTTTTAAGGAACATTTTTATTGAAAGCAATCGCCCAGTGAGGCATTAAGATTGGTGTTTTATTCCTTGAGTGACTCAGGAAATGAATTTGAAGTTGCCTATTTACTTTTCCTTTTAAGATGCTTTTTGAATTTGTGTTTCTTCAGTTCCAGGGGGAATAATTAATAGTTTATGGCATTTTTTCACATCTCAAGCAGGGTGCTGCCTTGTTTTATGCTTAAATTAGAGCCCTGCTTTATTATCGACTAGTTGTGAAGCTGCGTTTGTATTTTTACAGAGTTGACATGAGAAATAATGGTGATAACACAGATAAAGAGCCCAGCACAATGTCTGGAGTATCGTAAATTCCTAGTTAATTGCAGCTCTTAATATTAAAGCATCATGAGCTTTTAAAATTTAAAATAAATGCCAAGAGTAGTAAAACACTCACTATAATGAAAATAAATGCACAAAACCTTGAGGTCAAGAGAAAATTCTTCTAAGAGGCATCCTACAAAACCAGCCCCTGTTCAGTCAACTGTGTTCCTTAGCAATTTCTCCAAGATGTCACATGCAGGTCAGCCGTCCAGAGGGACCTGCTCACGGGCAGTGCCATGGCCCAGTTTCACAGTATGTTGGTGCATAACACCTGTCATTTCTTGCATCTCTATTATGTTTGAGACACTGAGCTGATTGCTCTCATGCATTGTCTCCTTTATTCTTTATGTTAATAATGACCCTAGGAGGTAGGGTCTATCTTCATTTCAAAGCTTAGGAAACAGAAGATAAGGAAGCTTAGCCTAGACGGCACAACCAGCTAATGCCAAAGCCAGGGTTGCAGATAAAACTGTCTGGTCCCAAATGCATGCCCTTCACCAGCATACTGAAAGAGAAGAAGGGAGAAAGAAAGGAACGGGTTGGGGCAGAAGGAAAGAATGTTCTGGAGAAGTGGATAGTTATAATTATGCATCATCTTGGTAATTTTAATAAGTCACTTTGGACAATAAGTGTAAGTGTGTGATGATAAAGATAGTAAAGGTTTTCGTATGTTATCAGCAATAGGACTTTAAACTGTAAGACTTCAGAGATTATCTTAGAGAGAAGTAAAATGACCTGAAAAAGAAGGGGAAGTGGCCAGGCACGGTGGCTCACAACTGTAATCCTAGCACTCTGGGAGGCTGAGGCCGGTGGATCTCTTGAGCTCAGGAGTTTGAGACCAGCCTGAGTAAGAGCGAGACTGCATCTATACTAAAAATAGAAAAACTAGCTGGGCGTTGTGGCGGGCGCCTGTAGTCCCCGCTACTACTCAGGAGGCTGAAGCAGGAGGATCATTTGAGCCCAAGAATTTGAGGTTGCTGTGAGCTGTGGAGCCACAGCACTCTACCCAGGGTGACAGAGTGAGACTCTATTTAAAAAAAGAGAGAGAGAGAGGAGTGATTTGCATCCTAGCACTTGTTCACTAATCCAACCTAGCTCTGTAGAAGGCAGGAAGAAGGCCACTTAAAACCTGGTCTCTTCCTTACCATTTGGAAAAACCAGAGAAGGGAGAGGTCAGTTTCCTTATGGGTTGGCTCAGCAGAGCCTGACATCCGTGTGTCTCGCACCATGAGAAGCTTCCCCAAGGCTGGCAGAGAAGGGAAGATGCTGCAGACAGGGCAGGCGGCAGGGGACATGTGAGAGAGGTTATTTATTTTTAAGGAATTAAGGCATCAATTCATGTGATTGTGAGGGCTAATAAACCCAAAACTCTGCAGGGCCAGCTGGAGACCCATCTGATGTTGCAGCTTTTAGTCTGAAGACTGTGTAGAGGCCATGTTCCCTTTTCTGCTCTTCTTAAGGCCTTCAGCTCATTTAAGTGGGGCTCACCCATGTTACGGACACTAATCAGCTTTGCTCAAAGCCTACTGATTAAAATGTTACTCTCTCAGGGCACGGTGGCTACTGTAATCCCAGCACCCTAGAAGGCCAAGACAGGTGGATTGCTTAAGTTCGGGAGTTCAAGATCAGTCTGAGCAAGAGCAAAACCCTGTGTCCTAAAAAGTAGCCAGGCAGTAGCAGAAGCCTGAAGCCCCAGCTACTAGGAAGGCTGAGGCAAGAGGATCACTTGAGCCCAAGAGTTTGAGGTTACTGTGAGCTGTGATTCCACGGCACGCTACCAAAGGTAACAAGGTGACACTCTGTCTCTAAAGATGTAAAAAATAAAAATATTAATCTCATCTAAAAAAATGCTTTCACAGCAATATCTAGTCTAGCATTTGGCCAAAAATCTGTGAGTACCATAGCCTAGCCACATTTACCATAAAGTTAACCATCATACTCCTGAGTGTTTATTGAGACACCCCCACAGCCCCACTCCTTTTCTGGGCTGCAGCCACCTGGGCTCCAATTGGCTGTGGGAATCGGGAACAGCCCAGGAGTCTGGCACATCTCTCTGGGACACACGCCAAGCATCACCAGGCCTGTCTTAAGCAAGTGGCTAGAAAAACGCAGACTCAGCGGTGGAGGTCGTGTACACCACATGTGGAACAAAAACACCAGAGGAAAAGAGAGAAGGGTCTGATGATCTGTGAGCATAGCAAGACAGGCCCCAGGAGGTGTGGCTTTGTAAATACCATCTTTATTCTTCGCGTAGATACTAAAACCTGAGAGGAAGAGAGACATGAATAAAATGTGAGCACCCATAGCTTTTCATACGCGCCTGTGGGCAGGTGTACAGATGTCTAAGGAAATTCTTCATCAGAAGAATTGGTTAAGGCTCGGCGCCTGTGGCTCAAGCGGCTAAGGCGCCAGCCACATACACCTGAGCTG